TAAGTTAACAACAGATGGCGCAGCCATATATGAACTTTAACATTAATCAAAATTTGCAAAAATTGAGTATGGTAAATATTAATTATTATGAGTTTTATGTAAAATATTCTTTCCTTTTCCTCATCGTCTTTACCGAACAACCTTTACCAGGTTCTACTAGCTATAAATTATTGTTTATTTCACTTTTCTTTGCAATAATAGTCTACACAACCCAATGAATAGTTCATCCCAGATTAAAAATTTATTTGATTAATTAGATTTTCAAATGGCACTAGATCAAAAAATTAAAGCACAGTTGTTCCGAAACCACAGCATATATAAACATACCATCTTTTAAGTTATTGTTTGAATATATTATTCAGAGTAGTAACGATACGACAGGGGAGACTATATCATTTGAAACTATCGCTTCTACTACCTACTACCTTTACTGGCATTCCCCCTTGTCATATTTCGGGTTTCGGAGCTTGGGTTTCAATAAAATATTATTTTGTGTTTTTCATGGCTTCTTACAACGTTTGTGAGTCAGTATAATTTTATTTCTTTAATATACTTTCCTTGCTTTTAATATAAGTGTTGAAGATTTTACAATATTATTGTTAGTAATGTACGTATTATATATATACTATAGTAAAAATTATCAATTAGGTTGGAGATTAGATAGACTTAAAAAGACTTGTTCATAAGACGGCGCGCCGTTAGCTGAATTAAATTATTTCAGTCTCAAAGACTGCACCGTCTATCTGTCACATTTTATTTTCCTAAGTTAAGCGTGACTCATCCTATTTATGGAGCCAGGTCTCCCCGGCTATGATGCCCGACGTAATTAACACAGCTTACAGGGTTGTGGATGAAAAAGTTCTTTAAAGCTCCTTTCAAAAAGCGAATGCACACATCTTAAAGTCGGCGAAGGTGTTTATATTTAAGCTGCCTTATATACATACAGAAAGGATAAAACTCCTTTCATGAACTATAATTTCTTCCTTTGGACTTTTCTCACTATAGCCATTTACATTTATAGCATGAAACAGTAAATAATCGGTAATCCGATACTATGGTTATAAAAATTTTAGATTCGCTCGAAAAAAGATTTAACGAACAATAAATGTTTCGGGCACAGTCGGGTAAAAAAGAAGTGTTTGTTCAGTTCTTATAATTCACAAAAAAGCTATTTCTGACACACATATTTTGTAGCGTATACACGATTTAAATTGCGTGACCGTAACACTCAATAAGCGATTAAGCTTGAATCAACTGATTTTATGAAATTACAGATAAAATAAATATATGTTATGTAACTTTAACGAGATCGAATCAGAAATGAGGAGATCCGTAGAAGAACTAAAGTTACCGACATAGCAGAGCGAGTCAGCAGGCTGAAGTGGCAGTGGGCAGGGCATATAGCTTGAAGAACCGATGGCCGTTGGGGCAAAAAGATTCTCGAGTGGAGACCACGTGACGGCAAACGCAGCGTAGGAAGGCCTCCCACAAGTTGGACGGACGACCTAGCCAAGATCGCAGGGACGCGTTGGATGCAGGCCGCTAACGACCGGTCGAAGTGGAAGTCAATGGGGGAGGCCTATGTTCAGCAGTGGACGTCCTACGGCTGATATGATGTTGATGATGATGATGTAACTTTAATAAATAATAAAAAAAATTGGGCCCTATCTTTTTGATGCGGGTGTTAATTATTTATGATACTAAAATCTTAAGTTACTCGTCACAAATTCAAACATTTACCAGTAAAAAAATCCATTGAACCGGATTATTTTCAATGGAGGGTTTTAATATTTCTGCGCGGAACCCTTATACTTCTTTTTAAATGAAAGTAGCCTAAATGATCCCTTAAAACAATGAACTAGTTCCTACTAGTGGCTCTGTCTCCTACAGCGCGCTCGTTTATTCGTATATCACTGTATTGTTACTGTGTAATTTTTAAATGCTGCATTATTCCCGACACCTTCTTCGCTTGGATATCGTAACAGAATTAAGATGTACTTGGTATCATACGGTGCAATTGGACAAACTTTGGAATTTTTAATTAAAACAGTGGACCTTTATATTTATAACTGCCGTCCCCTATTAAAAACCATAAATTATTTTGCATACAGAGCTGCAAGTGATATTAAATTATTATACTCTAACAACCGGTTTCAATATTCTATCTACAGATAGCTTTGGTTACTGGAGGTAGAATTTTGGCGTAAGTCTGATGGAGCTAATGTCGAATACCCATCGCTAGTAAACAATTCTATCTCTATAGTTTTAATATTCTATCTGTAGATAGAAAATTAAAACCGGCCGTAAATGCGAATAACTTCTCCAATAAGATAACAAACATACATATTTCTCCTCTGGTCCATACTATATTTCAGCAAATTGAAAAATTACTAGTATTATTAGACAAATAATGTAATTGGTTAAGCCCCTGTGATCGAATTAAATTACTTTCTAAAAGGTTTACTTTTCGCCTAGAAGTGAACTGGCAGTATTAAATTTAGCATTTCTTCTAATGAGGGATGCAGGACCAAACATTTGAACGGTTGACAACGCATCTCCACCGCACGGGTAGTGTTTTTAGGGTTCCGTACGCAATAGGTAAAACGGGAACGTATCACTAAGACTCCGCGGTCTGTCTCTCCCTTGTCACCAGGCTCTATCTCATGAACCGTGATAGTCAGAAAATTGAAATTTTCACAGATGATGTGTTTCTGTTGCCGCTATAACAAGAAATAATAAGAAACAGACTAAAAAATATTTAACTGGCACCCCCATACAATAGAGATGATTTTTTCGATGTTTTTATAGATTTAGAGAATGGCACGGAACCAATCGTGCGCGAGTCCTACTAGCACTTGGCCGGTTTTTTTTTTTTTATTTTAACGCATCTCCACCGCACATATATTTTTTTTATTTTGAGTATATTGACCATAAGGTGCGGTAATCGCAAAACATCAGGTGATAAAAAAAATCCAAATCGCGGATAGACGCATTATTTTATTTGTGTGAAAAAGGCAAGTTTTTTTAACCATAAACGGGTAGATAATGGTATTGGCAACATTGTTTAAACAGCTCTATTCATCTTAATCAATTCAATCCGAACTTATTCAATAAATCTCGCAGACCTATTACTTTACCAGCCCTAGCAAAGTTCCCCGTCGGACGCCGCACATGTTAACTAAATATAACCCTAAATAAACTGAAGGACAAAAAACAATTACCATTCGGGGACCGAGCTGGGGCCACGAACATGCGAGAAATTAGCGGTTGGGGACACATGACGGAGTTTTAGAAGCGTATTCGATATACATTCGCACAATTAAGATGAAATTTCAAACGATGACCTATTTTCATCGTTTGATTGATAGTATTTAAAGGAGATTTTCATAAAGACACGACTTGATCAGTCGACATGCATAAAAAGTCTAAAAAAACACTCATTTCAATCAGTCAAAACAGTTTATTTTTTACCCGACCCCCGTAGGAGGGTGATATTGTCCGAGGCTATGTATGTATTCATGTCTAATTCTTTGGCCCGCCCTACAGTCTAGATCTCTGACATTTCAACATATGAGGTCGCATTAGGTTCCTCTCAGTTGTAGGAGTGACACGGCGTATACTATTTTAATTTTTAACACGGTGTTAAAAATAATAGAGCAAAATAATAGGTAGTAATTTGTGCTAACCTTAATTAATAAAAACTAAACTAGTTAATCCGACACAGTAAAACTGATCAACTACAGAACCAACCCAAAGCGTAGGTTTTTTCTGTGTGAGAAGGTGGCAAATGAGCAAGTACCTTTACCTCTGTCACATTTGGGTACCCGTGGAACTAATATTTTCGCTTTCGGTTCGTTCTTTCGACTATTAAAGCTTCATCGATCGCAGAAATCGTGCGATAGCCAGACCTCGTGAGCTTGATACGGCCCTCCGCTTAGCGAGGGGCTCGGTATTTACTCATGCGCGCGTTAGGCTTCGCGTTCTGTCTCAACTTGCAAACTTGTCGCATCATACCTACACTTTCTTTCAAATGCTATGATCGGCAACGACTACACAAAACACAGCTAGCAATTCGCTAAGAACTCACAAATGATTTTAATACTCGGTTTTACTTCTACAGGGTATTTTGATTTCGCTCGGGTTGTGAGATGAATCTATCTTACAACCCGAGCCGATTTTGTTTTAATGACTTATTTCATTTGTTATTTTCTGACAGTATACAAGACAAAACTTGTATTTACGTTTTATTGAAATTTTCTAAAGGAAAAATCATGAAAGATATAGTTATTTAATTATTACAATAAAGATTTTTTTTTCTTATTGCCTAGCAAATTATAATATAGCGTGTTTATTTTTCTCCTAAAAAAAATCAATGTGAAATATCAAGCAAGGTCTGTCAATAATTGTTTAGTAACGTATAAATAACAAAGCTATGTAGATTGAAGGAATAACTTTATAACTATTAAATAAGATTCTAAACATATACGTAAGTACGTCCATGCTATCCCCAGAGGCGGGCATGTTAGCTAGCACAATTCACAAAGGAATAGCGATGTACAAGAAGTCAGATTATTTTACTTTGAACATCATTTAAACGTAGAAATGCGTTTCGACCTATTCTATCGAAGCATTTTGGAAACGGGAATTTTATTTGTGTTCCTAACATATTATAATATTTATTTATATAGGTATGGAGGAGTAATGTCTAAGGGAATTGTATTAACTTTATTTTACCACTTGAAATGGATAAACTTTATTAGGTAAGGACTGAAATACAATACAAACAGAATGACATTAAATTTTTTTTTAACTATATGCTTTAAACATTTAAACTAGAAAACACAAACTTTTCATTTTTCTGAGTACCGAGCAAACACATCGTTGAACCATTATACACAGAATATTTAATTTTTAAAATTTCAGACTTAGTGATCAGCTTAAAAGGTTTTTTCTTCGTGTAGTTGTAATTCAAAGTGAAACAATTAAGAGGAACTCCTTACCTCTTGGTCCAGAGCTGACTTGACACTGATACGTAGCATCGTCCTCCAACGTCACTTCGCGAATGTCTAAAGAATAGTCCCCTAGAAGATAAACAGAAGAATTAATAGAGAGATATACTACGTTTTTCTTTCTATTTAAGATTATTTTTTATTTATTTTTTATGTGAAAAGTTGCCAAGCGAGCAGGCGGTTCACCTGATGTTAAGTGAATACCGCCGCCCATGGACATCTACTATACCCGAGGGTTCCAGATGCGTTGACAACCTTTTGAAAATTGGGCTCCGGCCACCTCGCTCACCAGACGAAACATGAAAGTACGTATATCGTATAAGATATTATATTGATAGTACTTCCACTTTACGCCGGTCTTCTGTGAGGTTGTGGTATTTACCTGGACGAGCCTGCCCATTCGTGCAATAGCCGAACCTGCTGTGTGGGCCTACATACTGTCGAACGTAAAAGACGTCAACCCTGTAGCCCGAAAGCAAATACAAAAGCAATTTCTGCTTGTAAGTAATCCGAAACATGGAAATCTCATTAGTGGTCGCAGATGAGTAAGTGTGAGTGGTGCACAAGTCATTAATTATTTTACGATATTTTTCATTTCACCCAATCATGATTTTTGCGATTGAGAAGCTTCATTCAATAAGGAGGACAGTCTCATTGAGAACGTTGCCTTATAAACATGAGGTATTTTTGGATAATAGGCTCACTCACTATTCGTGACATTATTTGGGATCAATTTAGCTACGGAAACATGATTTTTATTTTATGTGGAAAAGTTATCAAGCAAGCAGGCTTTCCACCTGATGTTAAGTGGATACCGCCGCCAATAGACTAGCCTGAGGGGCTTGGAAATGTGTTGACAACCTTTAAAAAGTGGGTCGTGGTCAACTCAGTCACGAGGCGAGACAGGAAAGTATAATAATTTCCACTTCACTACACTTTTCCTTTAGGCCGTGGTACTTCTCCGGACGAGCTCGCCCATGCGTGCAACTATAGAAGCTGTTGCGTGGCCCTACCATAGCATAGCATATATAGCATTATCAATTAAGTTATCCCTCAATTTGATTAGTTAAAAGACGGCTAAATGATTGTCAGTATTAACTCTTCATTTCACATGTTTCGTGACGATAAAACGTGTCGGGAATGTAATAAAATCGAACTACGCGTTGAACAATAATTCATTCCCCACATTTGGAAAGTAGGGAGGAACCGAAAAGAGCAAGAGTACAGACGTCAAAAAAGTTTTATTAGTCACCACCAGCGGTTCGCCCTAAAATGATTTCTATAATCTCGCGCCACGATTTCCCACCGTTTGAGTACATTTTTTTATTATTAACAAACACCAGGTTTGGACTTTTACGACGTAGATTAACGTTTCCGTTAGAATGAAATAGGGCTACATTACCACTTAGTTTACGTTGAATGTGTGGGCGAATTTATTTTCAAACCGATACGGACTAATTTATATTATGTTTTTTTGCTGGTTTTTATCCACGTGTATTTTTTTTTAATTTGTAATGATATAGTTACGAGTAATAACCACGCAAATATTTAACGCTTAAAAAAATTGACTCTATATCAAATGCTATGCACTACGTCATCCCTGAAAATCGTCAAAACGTAGGTGATCGGAAGAGTTTAAAATACAGGTAGAAATATAGGTATTGAATTAACTAATTACTTTCAATCATTTTGATTCTGAAAAGATTACTACGGTGGTCAATTGTGAGGATAAAAAATTAACAGACGTTATGTGTGCCACTTCTGAGCAAAGGCCTCCTCTGTACAGAGGTTATTAGGGCAAAGTTCACCACGCGACTTCACTGCGGATTGCAAGACTTATGTTTGTACAATATTTTTTTGTTATTACATATTTAGAAAATATGAAGGTTTCATCGCGATTTCTTCCTTCACCACTGACTTCACACTGAGATAATATGAGAATATCTGACTTTATCTTTTACCTTATACACATAGATAAGTATGATCTTTTATAAAAATGTCTGGTTCTATCCTCTACCTTTTCCACATTTTGACGCTACCTTTTTTTTTTTTTTTTTTTTTTTTTTTTTTTTTTTTTTTTTATGGAGAAAAGGGGCAAACGAGCAGGAGGCTCACCTGATGGTAAGTGATTACCGCCGCCCATGGACACCTGCAACACCCGAGGGCTAACCTGTAGTAAACCAAGTACAGCCCCTAACACTTACGATCGCACTGTACGTCAAATAGTCAGCAGTTACCTTTGTTAATAATGGAATAACAATTAATTGGCGATTTAATTATAATAATAATAAAAACTTTATTTCGTATTATATAGGTATCCATAATTACAATAGTTTATATTACAAGAAAAATTTACGCAAAAATAAAAAATAAATTTGAGTATTACTTTATTTTTAATTAATTTATTTGTTTCTGTTACTAATTATTTACCTTCCTCGTCACTGCCGATCATTTTGTACCGCTCGTATCCAGTGAGATGGCGATGCGTCCCAAGACCGAAGTCATCCTTCGTCCATTGCAGCTGACCCACTTTTCCTTCAACTCTGCATGGCAAAGTCACTCTTGATCCCACCACGGTACTCTGCGTGATGATAAATAAGATAACTTTTGAATTGCTTTTAACAAACATGAAACTTATAGCTATATACAATGCTATAAGTTTCATGTTATATACAATGTTATCGTATACAGACACAAATCACACAAGAAGCAGTTCTAAATTATGTCGTGTTAGTGGAATGTTTGTTGCATTAAAATCAAGAGAAATTCCAATTTTAACCATTGAATAACCGATTAACGAAACCCAAGAACCTGTTCTATCCGGGAGAATTCCATTGTTGGTCGGAAAGCCGCTGCGAAAGTTACTAATAAATAAATCAAGGGACCCTAAATGTGCCCGTAACCCAAAAATTAAAGTTGCTGCGAAACTTTCGAATATTAATTTCCAAATTACCATTCCATAAATCAAACTTTTCTCGAATGAAACATCCGGGAATAATAACCTAACCCAATATAATTCTTTACATAAGCAACTAGGGCACGGAGTTGACATGGAGGCCCTGTATTGAAAATATCCAAGGATATTAAAAATTCCTTGCCCCGAGCTTGCTGCTCGCTTGAAACTCTATTTTTTCAACGGATGATAGGTACGGGTTATAGTAGACTATTTTATCGCGAATGACTGCAGAAAAACAAATATTATCGGAATCGAGCAAGATAATCGCTCTCGTGGAGAAATTATATTGGTTTTTCTACTGAACGACTCGAAAGCCGTTTTTAGTTTTGATTTATATTTGTGCTTTATCTGCGACAAAGTTGAAGCTATTAGATGTTTTGCTGTCGTATAACCGAAAAATAGGAGAATTAATACCACATACACATTTACTACTGTTACTAATTGTATTTGGTGCTTATTAGTGTTGTATACATATAGTATATAAAAGACTACTAGTGACCCTTACTTAAATTGGAGCTCATATCAGAAAGTTTCTTAAACCTTTATAATCTTGAGTTAAAATTCATGTGATCATATAAATTAAACTATTACAACATATAGTACCCGGAGGACCGAGCTTTGCTCGGTTTGTTTTTTTTTTTTGTAAATTGTGTATTTTGTAAATTACATTTAGATACAATTTACTGAGTAATGAAATATGCATAATATTTTTGGATCTTACAGACCTAATAATAAGAAAATATGAAGTGGTGTTTTTCACAAAAGAAACAACTTTAAAAAAAAGGGAAAAAATAACAAAATCATCTAGATTAACAAAAAATAAAAAATAAAGAATGCAATGATCTAGAATCGAAAAAAAGTAAAAAAAAGAGTGTGTAAATGAACGTGACACGAACCACGGCCGTCTGTTTTGGGGCCGCCCGATTACCGACCGAGCTATTATAACATTTTCTTTTGCGGCGAAATTTACCGTCATACTCGAATGATATTTTTCATTCCCTGAAAACAGGGATAAAAGGACATTTTCTAAAAATGAAACCTAGCTAGATCGATTTTTCGCCCCCGATTCTACGCACAAACTAAATTTCATGAAAATCGCTGGAGCCGTTTCCGAGATTCCGATTAAATATATATATATATATATATATATATATATATATACAAGAATTGCTCGTTTAAAGGATAAGATTTAAACTGTAAAATTTAATTCGTAAAATTAAATTTAATTCGTAAAAAAAATGAAGTTGTTATGATATTTTCTTGCTATGCCGCAAATGTTAAAGAGCCATTTAGAATAACTAGATATTATGTAGAAATTACATATGTATATAAGTTTGTGACAATTTCCATGAAAAAAGCGTTCAACGTTTAAATTTTTTTTTTTTGTATAAGTGATCACACTCGAGATAACACTCTTCAGTAACATTTATTGGCAAAAAATTCTTTATGTAAAACTTATAAAAAAAAAAATATTCTTTGTCACGTGCTCAACGATGAAGGAAGACATCGTGAGGGAACCTGCACATTTTCGAAGTAATAACGGAAAAAAATATATTTCTAAAGTATGTAAATTCTGCCAATCCGCAGTGGGGCCGCGTGGTGGACTATGCCTTGATACCTACCTATTTAAAGGAGAATTTATTGTTCTCTTATTTTTTTAACTCTTTCAAAGGAAAATTTTAAACAGTTTTGAACCTTTGAACGTTATTTTCATCTATTTGTTTTTGTAACATTTCATTTTATTTTAATTCCTTGATCGCAAATTACTGATTAAACTTAAAGCGCTCTGCTACATAAATAACATTCCCGTAAATTAAAGATAAAACGTTCACATTTAAGATATGTTTACAGTAGAACAATCTAAATTACATATCAAATCCTTTAGCAGAAAAGAGTGCCGCAAAAAATGTTGCCGCCGATTACTCGGGTACGTAAACTAATAAAAGCGATGTCGAATATGATAAAGGGTCGGTATCCGTTTTACGCGGATCCTATTAAAATAATGTTGCGTTGGGTGTTTTCAATAAATTCACGGGTAACATGAAGATGGGTGATCGGATAACTTTGGTAAGAGAGGCGATTTTGCTTGTGGTATAATTTGATTTGTCTTCGAACTTCGTTAGGGCTATAACAACGGGAGCCAAATAATAAGCCCTCGTGAAACGATGCCTCAAATTTGTGGGTAATAATATTTTAGGCGTCAAGGGCAGAGTTTCATTACTTTGTTAGCGTAGCAACATGCAAATAGGAGAACGAATACAAATGATCAGAGACGTATATAAATTCAAGACGAAATGAGATTTATGGTAAATACAACCTCGAGAACAAATTAGTGGTATTACTCGGAATAATTCAAGATTTAAATAAGAGTTACATCTGTCTTCAGCTTGATCCCTATGTAAGGGCAAAGTATTTTGATGACTGCGTGGCGCAGTCGCCTAGTATTTGGCTTCGGCGCCTTGGATCGTGGATTCGATTCCCACACGGTATAACTTTTTGTATGAGTCACAGATAATAATTGTTTCGGATCTGAGTATGTTTCCACGTGAAATTAAGAATACACTTCCCTATGACAAAAAAGAAGAATAGCAATAAACTCACCTTGACCCTTCTTAAAAGCAATATGAATGATCCGTTCAAATGAAATATTCTCATCTTCTAGAATTCATTTCATATGGGAAGGCGCATACACTTCATATAAAAAAAAAAGTCTAAGACCAGAAGAACAATTTTTTTTATGTGGGTAGATGGCAACTGAGCCGGCTGCTTCAGCTCATATTAAGTCGTAACCGCCGCCCATGGACATTATCAATACCCGTAGGGATGTAAATATAAAAAACGTCACCAACTTTAATAAAGTGGGCCCCAGCTACCTCACTCAGCAGACGAAACGCAGGGGTATAACACATCCACTTCACACCGGTGTTCTGTGAGGTTATGGTACTTCCCCTGATGAATGTAACCATTAGTGCAACAGCGTAATGCAACAAAATTGTTTTTAAATCATAAACTTCAAAATAAAGTATTACCTGATCCTGTGGTTCGATGGCAAACTTCTGTTCCCTATACGCGCTGACGCAACCTATTAACAAGAATACAACTATCCACTGGTTTATAAGCATACAGCAATAAACAGGTACCCGTATCCTTAACAACAAAAACAGCGGATTGGCACTTCTACTTGTCACTTTCATGTCATTTTGCTTCATCAAACTGTTCGCAGCAGTTCTTCGGGAATCCTTCTTCAACTCATATCGTGATCTTGCTTCTAAACCGACCTCTCTTTCGGTTACCTTGAATCGATTTCCAACATACATCTCTTTGTTTCCGTGCCCACTGAATTCATTGTGTTTACGTATTGTTTTATCACTCGTTTTGTTACCCATTTTGTTTTAAGGTATCGGTACGTCAACGCAGCCATATGTTTTATCCATAGGGGTTAATTCCTTCAAAGTTTACATTGAAGCACCGTTTGAAGTTAGGTGGTGTGCTGAATCTGTAACAAGTAAGAAACATTAATTACCGAGCCCAGTTGTGAAAACAAATTACAAAAGAATGCTTATTTCCTTTCGCATTTTAACTTATAATTGTTTTTTGTATTGTGTATATGTTCTACATATTGTAAATGTAGAACATGTACACAATACAATGTATTATGTCCTATTCGCTTATTGTAGATATTGTCATATAAAAGTCTTAAAACCCAAATGCTTTTCAGGTAACTTAGTGAATCAAGCTTTTGCGATCTGGACAGAAAATAAATAAGTTTCACGATTAACAGTTAAATATTATCTTAAAGCTCAATTGGTTAAAAAAAATACAAATAATATATATTGTAAACATAACTTAGTATCGCCATTGAGGAATGAATGAATGAATGAAATATACTTTATTGTACACAACCAACGGATATTGAAGAATCAACTAAAATAATACAAAACTTAGGCGGCCTTATGCTAGGAAGCGATTTCTTCCAGGCAACCTAGTAAAAGGAAATAGTAAAAACAGTAGCATTGGGTGAAAGGAAGATATTCATCAAATAAAATATTAGCCGATTCGTTACGTACCACCACCGAACAACGAAAACAGATAATGCGTACTTAATTAATATGCATTACACCCATAAATTGAATTGCATTGCAGTTAATTGAGATCCTATCTAGGTATATCGAGCACCGTTGAAAATTGAACACGCATTGGCGTCGCATCCTGTTAATGGCGGGTTTTTAAAGCGACTCGCTCGTATTTCATAACGCCATTCAGGAGCACATCTAAAAGACATAAACATGCCTTGCACAGGGCATTATGAGTACAGATATATGAATAAATCATTGCGATCTATTGCGAAAGGCGGCAATTTCAGCTGCAGTGCTTTAACAGTTCCAGGAAGAAAAGGGAGGTCGTATATCTGAGTGTTCGAAAGTACCACAGTTTCTCGATGGACAGAAGAAGTTTTGTTCATATGAAGTGAATGCCAAATGTCTATTAAAATGGCAATTACAAAAATGCAATGTAGATTCGTATTTCGATAGGATATGTATAGGAGGATGGAGTCTGGTAAACAGAAAATGAAATGTTAAGTCACTCTATTTTTCTGTTTACCATTACTGATGATTCCATACGAACGATAATAAAAAAAAAAACTTTTTTTTGTCTTTAAACAATCTACACAAGGGCAGAAGAAAGTGAGAATCTTGAATCATTAATCTTTAGTATGATAGATCTGCATCTATCGATCAAACTGCCAGTTTATATGTGGCTTGAAATACTTGATTCCGATTTTTTTATACTGCTTAGTTCTCCATAGTACTGGCATTTCAGCTTTCGAGGTTGGAAGCGAAGGCGTTGTTTCTTTTTTCCCACTTGCACGTGCGCTAGTACTTTGAGACCAAACGAGACGGCGAGAAAACGTCGCATAGCTCTGTTCTTTTATCGTCCGGTTCCCCGGCGGATTCTTCAAATATTTCACGTTGTAAAAGAGTTTAATAATCGGCAATATATTGCTATTTCATTCATTCATTCGTGTACCGAGCATTGCAGCAAATTCGGTTTTAAGATTGAGAATTTGAATATATTGCCAAAGTCATATATTCTCAAAATTTCTCATAATAATTTTTACAATATGATACATATTACTATGGTTGTGAGTAATTAATTAAATAGAAGGCAAATAATTCATCAATCTAATACATTGGCAGAAGACGAAGTAGTAATAGCAAATTAATAAACTTGAATGATTCCTTTACCTTATAATTAAACTAACCTTAACGTAATGCTTCATAATTTTGTAACCTTAAAGTTTACTTTTAGAAAGGAAAAATTTTAAATGAAATGCCATTTGTGACGTAATGTGATGACTCGGTGGCGCAGTTGCTAAGCCATTGGCTTCGGCGCCGGAGGTCATTGGTGCGATTCCCACAAGGAATAAATAATTTTGATGTGGGTGTTTGTTCCTAGGGTAGATTGACGACAAACAGTTAACCGTTTGTATAAAAACTAGCCAATACTATTAACAACACAACTCACATGTTGTGCCGACCCCGTTTAGTCAGAAAGAAGAATTTTCTGAAAATCTGATCATCTTTCAAAATTGCGTCCAAATTTTGACGCCCGCATTATAAAAGTCTTCTCGGGCAAATCCGAAATATTTCCGGAAATTCAAAATTTACCAAAACATTAAAATTTGTGTCCGAAATGTCTAGATGAGGCACCTGACGATGTTAGGTACAGGTTTCCGCCGTCAATCGATGCCGATAACTGGCAATTACCCATACCATAATGGCGGATTATCCTCTTGGCACATACACGTCGATAAAACGCCAACTCCAGTCTACCGGGGGATTATCATACTGATGTAACTCACCCATACACGTAAGTAATGGATATTCCTTTGTAAAATAGAGCTTTTCTAAATAACACACTAGTGGTGATTGAAGAACAAAACTTGTACGATAATAAAAAGTGAAAGCAAACATTAATATTTTTTTTGCGGATAAGAGGAAATGCAGTATATTACAAAAAATTCTGTTTCCATCATTACTTGTAACGAAACAAATCAACGTGCAACATTGATACTAAAGAACCGATTGTATGATTGCCCTTGCAGACAGCAAGTACATAAATAGACAAAGAGAAAGATAAAGCAAAATAAAATTATATCAGATGCTGAAAACACATTTGCTTCAGCATTTATGTCTGACAATAAGAGTTGTATATTACTTACTTTATTTCCAAAATTGGTTGAATTTTTAAGTTTCGATTTATATGCATTAAAATAAGAAATCAAACACCTACAGAATTGACTACTAAATAAGGAAGGTGAAAAAAACAATTCATGATTTCTCAGAAACACAAACTCTAGAATCGATTCCACCATGAATTTAATACAGTTCCAACATTTTCTTTGAAAGCAATAACAGACATCTTTGAAACATATGTTATTGCTATGCAAAGGTGTTGTAAAAGTCAGACTAGAGTTGTCCCAAAGGCCAACGTTGGAACTTATTCAACTGATAATCTATTCAAAGTTGAACAGAAAGATTCCTGTTAAGCAGTGGAACATCGTTGAAAGTACACCTCTCAATACCGAGATCCCTACTGGTAGATAGTAATATTTTTATGAAATTAAATATTACGGTCCACTTGATACCAGTTAACTGATGATAATTTTGTTTTTTAAATATATACTAAAAGGTTGCCTGGAAGAAATTACTCTTAGTAATAAGGCCGCCCATTGAACCCATCACTTCTACATTAAGTTTTAATTTTTGTTTGTTTTATTTTTGGTGTGCAATAAAGTATATTCATTCATGCATTCATTTTACAGATCAAAACTAAATCTAAACTCCCACAGAACACACACACCAGAATAACACTATGTTCATCTCAGAAAATTTTTCAAGTGGTGGGGATCGAACCCACACTCTCTGGCGAAACTTGGTTTCGAGGATGTATTCATGATAAAAATATGATGATACCACTGGGAAAGACAACCTTTTGGAAATATCACGATCCGAGTCTTACGACAGATTCGTTCTCATAGCCTATTTACATTGAAAACGGTCGTAACTGTATATATAGTGTATTCTGGAAGAATGCCAGCTGAAGGACCTATAAGACAGAGAGATGGTAAACTATGGGTATATTACATTTTGGGAAAATTCGTTGTATAAAACTAATAATGTAATTTTGCGATTTGATTGTGAATAACATAGATTAAGGAATAGCTAAATATATCAATATAATGAGAATTTCTTATTGCTTTCAAGACTTACGATTTTAACATGATTTCGCTAATTAAAAATATTAATAAGTAATAACTAATAACTAATACTAGCCCGAAACTAAGCAACACTTGTACTATGAAAACTAGATGAAGATTTTTTTGTAAATACTGTTGATATACATTATAGATATTTAAGTATCCAGACACCGGAAAAACAGGCGTTCAACACACAGCACACTTCTAGTAGCGGGTATCGAACCCACATCCTATGGTGAAAGAGACAGTTTCACTATCCACTAACCGATCGGGTCGTCATAATTGTTACCACATTTCTAAGGTTATATTAAGCAAGAGGAGATTATTAAGTAAAACCAACTAAGCCTACAAGGATGCCTTCGTTTGCGTTTCGCAAAGTGGTTTATTACTGATTGTTACATTAATATAATTGCAAAACGACTTTGGAGGCTAGTTTAAGATCTAATGTAAATACGAAACCTAATTTATTTAACTTTACATTCATGGTATTATATTATTGGAAACTAACTAAAAAAATACAACATATAACATCTAAATCTTTCAAACTTTGAATACAATTCCCAAACCATTTTGGCACCTTTCAAAGCGTGTGAATATAAAAAGCTTGAAACAGTTGTCCTTGTGTTTAGATAAAATGTTACTACATCGACTTCCCGCACAATCAAATCAGTCGCGGCCGGTCAGCTGGCACAATTTGCCGCGACAAGGACATCCGCTGTAACCGTACTCCGAAATGTTACACCGATAAGAATTGACGGTCCTTGTTAAATTAAATCGATAGCTGGCTTGCGAATTCTGTATGCAAGCCGACTCGGCTGGCCCAGATTGTAACCAATAGGTTATGGGTTTGAATAAGAATTG